CTAAGAAAATATACATTATTCTCTTTATACACATTGATAATGCTGCCTCGTTAAAAACCTTACCGAGGAAAAAACGGTGGGACAAAACCTTGGAGTGAATAAGAGTGCAGCGCGTATATACTCCTTTGTTGACTGCATTACTCCAGAACTTCTTGTTGATTCAACTTCAATCCAATCTGCTTACTAACTTCTCAAAAGAAATATTGTGCTATGTGCATACCTCATTAAAAACATTGTTGGAAAAACCTATTGGGAAAACCCAACCAAGGAAAATAGTACATAATATATGTGAAACGATATGTTATCTACACCGCCTCATTTAACCCTTTAACTAAGAAAACCAGATAGGAAAAACGTAATTAAAAAAAATAGTACAATTATTAGCCTTCAAGGCATAATCTTCTAGATTACTTTTATATTTACTCTTCCAGAGAGCAATAATATTCCAAGTCTTATGTATCATAATAATTATTTGAAAATCACAAACTGACTCATTAAACCCTTTGACCAAGAAAACTCTATGTGATAAAACTTGGTTAAGGAAAAAGAGTATAGTTGCATATAGTCTGTTGGGCCAAGTAATTGTTCCACCTCACAAGGACCATTAAGACCTTCAGGGTACTATCTTCAGAATTAATACTAAAGTCACTCTTCTAGAGGATAGTAGACTTCTGAATCTAATGTATCGTTCTCATACTTTGAAATCACAAAATACTTTGTTAAAACCTTTGACCAAGAAAACTGTTTGGTCTTCAAGACCTATTAATTGTTTCACCTGAAAAACAACAACTCATTATGTTAAGACATGTATATACCAAATCTATAAAATTTGAGGTGTTGAAAATTTGTAGTATATAAACTTCCAAAGCTATTTGAGCAGATTTGATGGACGTTCGCCACTCTTCAAGAGTTTATAAGCAGAAGTGCATGTGTAAGCTCATCATTGTGAGAAATGTATTTTGAAACCATCAAGTTTAATGTTAATGAAATTCTACATATCAAATCATTCCACAATCAAGTATTGTGAAATATTAGTCCACAGAAACATAAATGAGACATATTCATCTTACTCGAAGGACTACATTTGAATTTAGTATACACACTTCAGGTATTCACAATATAGTGAGTAATATATAATCAAATATCATTCAAATCAAAAGATCCAACACCTTTATTTATACATTTTGTTCGTTGAACAATATATGTTCACTGCAAACAAACAAATAGATGAGCTATAAACCAGCATGACTAATTGTGAATTCATTGCATAATGTTTTCTCTATTCTACCCTTTCTGCAGGAATGGTAGAAATGTGATATAAAGATATTTCTCTTCAAGCTATTTTATATATTAGCCATGAAATTATGTGAAAGCACATAGGGAATGTGTTTTGAGTATATCCTCTACAAGAGGCACTCACTAAAAGTGAGTTTTCTACATGTTGCATAAAACCTTGTTCAAAAAGTTTTTCTTGGCCAAAGGTTTTAACAAAGTATTTTGTTGTTTTAAAAATGAGAACGATACATTACATTTGGAAGTCTACTATCCTCTAGAAGAGCGACTTAATATTAATTATGAAAGTAGTAACCCGAAGGTCTCAATTGATCCTTGTGAGGTGGAATAATTAATTGGTGTGAAAGACTACATGAACTATACTCTTTTTCCTTAACCATGTTTTCTGAATTATTTGATAAGTTAATTTTCTTTAACGATATACTAACTTAAACCAAGAAGATTATCAAAACTAGGATTATCATAATCACAGGAAAAAGAGATAAAAAACCTGGAAATCAACTTAACGTTATAGTTTGTAGTGTTAACCGTCCTAAGCTTTTGATCTGTCTTTGTGTACTAATTATCTTCCTCGTGAGTTTGTGCCGATCATTCTCGTAGAGCTCCTCAAGGAACCATCTACTCCCTATCGCCGATTCGCGGGTCGGCTACATGCATCTCCTTCGGATTCGGTCACGTTGTCCTAGCGATGTGCGAATTGTGCCCAATGTAGCTATTTAAGAATGGTTGTGAACCACAAATTCTTTGCTAAAAAGGGAAAAAGGAGATAAATTTGGGACATACCAAAAAGCAAAGTATGAAGATAATTCCGGGACGGAGGGAGTAACAGATATACCAAGATACTCATTTGTAAGATTAAGGCTACGAGATACTGAGCCAAATCCTAATAATACATATGAGCCTTGGAGATTAATGAACATCCACATATTACATAAAATGTAGTACAATTTTAAGTTTAGGATGTGATAAAATTCTTAAACTAAGACACCCATTTTCTACGTTAAAAATGTTTTTACTTGGATTGTTTTCAGTATCTATCCATATCATATCAGATTAGACTTTAACTATTACTCTGTATAAAATACTCAGATCACTTCTACTAGACCAGATCAGATCAGATTAGGTCATACCAGAAAAATTTAAATTTAACACAAAACATCGAGTTTGTATAACGTGGGATCATCCCACAGTGAGCACTGTGCTCCACATCCCAAAACGACGTAGTTTTGCACATTAAAAAAACGCGTCAACAGTAACATGTGAACAGTAACGCGTGAACAGTGATTGTTTTTTGTCCCAGTAACATGAATGATGTAACTCGCGTGTAAAATAATGTAACTCATGTTATTGATCCATGTAACTCAAGTCCAATAGAAATGTAACTTGTTAAATACATAGTATAAGAAATAAAACATCTATTTTAATATAAATAATGAAAAGAAGAAGACTATTTGCCCAATTATTTTACAAATATTGTATATGCTTTGTTTTTAATATCAAATCTATAAAAATGTTTTCTATGAAAATAATTTTTCTTTGAATAGCAGGGCTTATTGGGTTATGTAACTCACATTATATTGTGATGTAACTCGCATTATGGAAAATGTAAATTACATGTAAGCGAGATGTAACTTGATGAAGAAAGTTGACATGTAACTCACGTTAATAGATATGTAACTTTAGGCAAATGTTGGTGTAACTTGAGTGTGAGTAAGATGTAAGTTATGGAAGGTCTAAAATAATTCATAGCAGTCATCTTCAACATGTAACGAAGGTGAGTCTTCTTAATTAGAATCTGAACTTTCATATTCAAAACATTATTACTATTATACATATATACTAAAACAAACATTTAGCTTGAAGTCATTATATATTTATATTTACCCACATATACGCAATACTCTAGATCCAAAATACGGCACTTGCAATTTCAGAATTAAAAAAGGGATATTTCGAATGGGGCGATTGAATGATAATCTCTTGTATGGGTCTATTTGATGCACAATTCGTATTTGAGAAGCAGGTATGTAAACACGATTCTTTTTATACAAAAAACTCTTCGAATGACTTCTGGTCCAACATTTGGAATGTGGCGGAGTTCTGTGGTGAGCTGAAACAACGAAGGAGACGAAGGGAATCCACCGATTGCTTTTTTTTAATAGGAAGCATAAAACTGTACCGTTTTGGAATCGGCACACCATGCTCATGGTGAGCCGATCCCACAGTATAATTTGCGCAAAACATCCCAAAGTATGATTATTTATCATTTAAGAACTTTGGGAGTTGGGACCCGAGAAACCCCTGTCCACGATCTCCCCAGAGTCCCAGCAGTACGTATATAGTGCATCCGGGTGTACGTACACCCAGCCCAAGTAAGAAAGACAGCCCAACCATTAATACAGGCCAAAAAAATTTCGATGGCATTTTTGTAATTTAAGCGAAAAATCATGGCTTCTGCTAAATGAGCAATAGTGTAATTTTAATGAGCATCTGACCTATTTTATTGAGTATTTAAGAGGCTAACAATGAGTTTCACGATTCTTGCTTCATATCTTCTAATTCTTTTTTCTTTTTCTTATTTTTTCTTTTATAAAAACTTATTAAATTATATCTATAATACACTCCTATTAATTTCAATATGTGAGTCTAATGCAATATGATACTTTTGAAATATGCATTGATATGACATTTTAAAAATGAGCATAACATCAGTACCAAATGAGCATACATAACTTACAAAGTGCACATTGATATGAAAAGTGTAAGGTTTGTTACTTGAACATCACGACATTTCAATTGAGCATCAAACCTCTGCTATTGAGATGAAAAACACGATTTCTATTAAATGGGCGTTAATGAATTTTTAATGAGCATCACACCTATACAAATGAGCATGTGTAACTTACAAGATGAGCATTGATATGAAAATTGTAAGTTTTGTTCGTTGAGCATCAAAATGTTTTCAGTGAGCATCAAACCTCCGTTATTGAGTATTAAAATCGTGCGGTTGAGTATCATGATTTGTGGTCTCATTCTATAATCAACTTATATGTAAATCTAATGTAATTTGAGACTTTTGAAATATGCATTAATATAATATTTTAAAATGAGCATAACAGAGCTACTAAATGGACATACATAACTTACAAAATGAGTTTTCAAAAATTCAAAAGCTCATTTGTGCATTTTCATTTCTTTCAAGCATTGTATCAATTTGAGTTTAACATAAAACTAATTTCTAATGTGCTCAGTATTAATTTATAAAGGTGAACATTCAATTGATCGATACCTACAATATTTTATAATGCACAATTTAAAGAAATACTGAAGATATAAATGAAGGTTAATTTGAAAAAGAAAAAAAGCAAACGACATTAGGTTGCCCATTTTATATGGCACATATTTATCAATAAAAATTAATGGAAAAGTTGGTTAAAAGAAAAAAGAATACGCAGAGAAGAAAACACAAATGCAAATAGAATACGTGGGGGAAAAGGTACTCCCTCCGTCCTGAAATAATTGTCCTGCTTTCCTTTTCGGTCCGTCCCGAAATAATTGTCTCTTTTCCTTATTTGGTAAACAAATCTATACAAAACAGTGTCAAACAATGCAAAACAGTGCCAAACAGTGTCGCTACAGTGTGAAGTCAACTTTGTTTTCTTAATCTGTGTAAAGGTCAAAACAAACGATTATTTCAGGAGGAAGGAAGTAATAAACAAATATCTACGTATGATGGCATGAAGCAAAAGAAAATTCAGAGTTCAAACAAAATTGAGAAAGAATTTAAAAAATACGTTGGTGTATGTGTACATCGGGTTCTGTCACCGAAAATCATATCACTGCCGGATTCACCCCACCCCACTGAACTCCTCGTTTTCCGCTCGCTCCAGTATTTGCCCTGCTGTGTTATCTGCTATCCATCTACTACAATTATACTCGATCAAGGTCCGGTGAGATTTCGATTTCGGAACCAGCCGTTTTTTATCCAAAGATTCAGTTTACTGGTTTCTAATTAACTTTTGTGCTCACAGAACCTTTGAAATTTAGGGTTCCGTTTATTGTGTATAACTCATCCCAGACTCTTTTTGTGTAACTTTTACTGTTTAAGTCTATTGGAAAGTCGAGCTATTCAGTAGTGTGGTAATATGGTTCGTATTTGAAACTAAAAGTTGTTTTTGATAACTAATATACGGACAAAATTGCAGCCGCTATGCCGTATTTTATATGGACTTTTTTGTTGTGTTGAAGAAGAATTTGTTTGTTCTTGACACGTTAGAGCGGGAAATGCGGTCAAGATTTTGAAATAGTGAACGTTCGGGCTAGGCATATAAAAGTGAGGAAGTACTTTGCAGTTATTCATTACTTGGCCTGGGACCTGGGTTTATAGGAGAGCCAGAATTGGATTGGTTTGTCAATCCGAGCTCCAGAAGTCTTCAGGCATCTTGTATTCCATGGTCAGTTCCTTCTCTTACCTTTTGATGGGCTCATCTATTGCTCTTTTTTTTTTTGCATCTCAACCCTATAGCATTAGTTGAGGTGTTTTTCATGCTATAACTCCACCACTCATTCAGTGGTAATTGGTTTTAGAGAGTTAGCAATTAGCGGTAGACAGCTGAATGTTATGCACAAGAAATCAAATGTCTCTCATTTGATGATCTTGAATTCTCCCTGCTTTCATGTTTTGCTTTGTAATTGTATGATGTAAAAAATGCTATTTGTAGGAGGTTGTTTACTTGTTTCTGAGTGTTTGGTTCAAAACCTTAAGCATGCAGTTGAGCTTCACTGTTGTTGAACTGGTCCATTTGCTGTCATTGAATGGATAGTCCACCTTTGTACAGAAGAACCACCAGATAAAACTGAATAGTAAAGATTATTTGATAGATTCATGTTAAAGGTTAAATATTACTTTAGGTCTACCTGACAATACCTTTAAGTCGTAATTCACTTACTTGAGATTGTTAGCTTCACTCTTGTCGAACTGGTCCATTTGCTTTCATTGAATGGATCATCCACCTTTGTATGGAAGAACCACCAGATAAAAACTAAATAGTAAACATTATTTGTTAGATTCATGTTTAAGGTTAAATATTCCTTTGGGTCTACCTGACGATACCTTTAAGTCATTATTTGAGATTGTAAGTTTTAACAACTCCCCAACTCCTAACTGGCTTGTTTTCCGTGCCCAATCTCAGGATACTAACAGAACTTCTGATGAGAAGTCCGAAAGCAGGCTCTATGTTGGTAACCTGGATCTTAGGATTTCAGAGTAAGGATGTCTCTACTTTTTAGTCATCAAAACCATAAGTAATAATTGCAAAAAACTTTATATAATACTGGATTGAAATGATTACCTTTTTGGGGTGCCAGGGCGGCCTTGATTAAAATGTTTTCACCATTCGGAAAGATAATTTCTGAAGACTTTCTATGGCATACTCGTGGGCCCAAACGTGGGGAGCCACGTGGTTATGCATTTGTTCAGTTCAGTACCAAAGAGGTATGTTGCGCAATTTGTGATGTATTAAGATTTAATATCAGATTTAGTCCTTATACATTATTACTCAACTTGTTCCTCATAAAATTTCCTTGGATTTGATTTTATCATTGTGTGGTTTTATTACCATTTAAAATTTTAGACACACTTTAGTCCCCTTGCATATTTTTCTCTAATTAAGGACACTTTGTACACTCAAAACTAAACTATGTTAAAATAACATGTTTGAGGACCAAATTGAGTCCTAAAATGCATCTAAGCATAGTGTGAATGCCCCAAAGCGTAGTGCACCTAAAAGTATCCTTCTTACTTAAAGCTAATTGTGTACAACACAACAACAACAAAATTATTCAGTGCCGCAAAGGCTCTCACCTATGGTGGGGTAAGTAGGGTCGAGTGTACGCAGTCTTACCTTTATACTAAAGCAGAGAGAGATTGTTTTCGGATGATCCATAATTAAAATCACGTGAGAAATTGTATGGACTGACTGCTTCATAACAAATAAGCACATACAGTTTAGTGAGCCATTTTTCTTTATTCCACCATATTTCCAAGCCAAAAAAATAGTGAGTCTTTGGATCCAATGCAAATATGGAACATTAAAGCTAATTGTGTATGATAACTAATTTGAGACTAAATTTAATGGGTGGGAACTAAATTGGGGGCAGTTTCATAGTCAAGGACCAAATTTAGTACCAAAAAAAGTTGAGAACCAAAATGAGCACCAAAAAACTCTAGGACCAAATGGAGTATTACTGTATTGTGGAGGGCTGAATTGTATAGTGAAGGACTAAGGACAAGTCAACTTTGCAAATTTTTTAAAGAGACCCATCAGGCCATCACCCATATGACTCTCTTATGGAGTCATATGAGTCTCCATAAATCTACGCGTTAACTTCACCTGAGTTTTTTCTTTTTTCATTTGACCCGGATTTTTTGGCTCATTATGATGGAATAAAGCAAAATGGCTCACTAAACTGTTTGTGCTTCTTTGTTACGAAGCAGCAGTCAATCCATGCAAATTTGGATGGGATTTTCACTATGGGTCATCCAGAAACAGTCTCTCTGTGCTTTAGTACAGGGATAAGACTGCGTACATCCGACTCCCCTTACCCCACCGTAGGTGGGAGTCTTTGCGGCACTGGGGTAAATGAAAATGATGATGAAAATGATGATTTGACCCGGATTTTTTAGACCTGGTCTGGTCTGGTCTGGTCTGAAACATTTTGACGGGGTTTGAATGCTCTTAATCTCTTATGATCTTGTATTAGTTGTTTTTGTGAAGTTTGACCTGAATCTTGGTATCTAGTCTGAACTGAACGTAGTTGGTTTAAGTAAGTTACCATTATAGTCCCCTGATTTGTATGTTAAAAGTGAGCATGCAGGAAGCTCAACTTGCCAAGGAAAAGATGCACGCAAAGTTGGTTTGTGGGCGCCCATTGAGCATCCGTCTTGCCAGTGAAAAGTTATTGATGGAAGGTGCAGAAAATCCTCCCAAAGCAGTAGGCGTGGCAGTCAAATCTTACCTCTCTGGAGGTTCATCATCAACACGGATGAGTCGTGGTGCCAAAATAGCTGCAATAAAGAACAAACTGAAGTCAATGGAAGAGGAAGTCGGCCACAGTTCAAAACGTCACAAACCAGAAGACAGTTTGCAATAGTTCGCATTTTATTACTATATAGGACGGGGTTTAACTCCCTAGACATGCCATAAGATTTGTGCCTCTTACAAACATCTGCTGATTTTAGGCTCTTTATTTCAAAGGAAGTCAAGTTCTTCGCTGTGTACTATATGCAACAATTATGATTTTCATTTCATTTAATTTGTATTTTGGTAGAGTAGAGTTAACTTCAAAAGTTTCAAATAAAGAAATTGGGGCATTATATCATGTGTGGTTGATGTTTGCACATAGGAGAAAGAAATCAAATGATTCACAAATTCATTGATTAAAAAGGAAAGTGATTTTTTTTTGGAATAATTAAAAATAAAAAGATGATAAAGTTATAAGGAACAAATGGAGTAATTGTTTCTTGTAATGTCAAACAATTTTTTCTTTTAAATATATATTAGTCATATAATTTGAATTTCGAAAAGTTTCTGAAATAAAAGTAAACAGGTATTCTAAAACAAGACTGTTATGTTTTTCTTCTCGAAATAGGATTAACATGACATTATTCACTGTCATCTTGGAGTTACTACTGCCAAATAGTTGCATTATTGGGCATTAAGGATGTTTTTATTTGGATTGAAATTTGCTGGTCTGGTTTGGAATATTTAAATCTGGTCTGAACTAGTCTGGTAAATATCTAGTCTCTGTGTATTTAAAATTATGGAAGTTTGGTCTGATGATATGTTTAAGTCTAGTTTGATCTGAGACTGAAAACAATCTAAGTAAAAATATTCTAACATGAGAAAAAACATAATCTTATTTTGGAATTCCAAACCCCGTTTATTTCTAGTTAGGGCAATTTCGCTTTGCATTTTCATATTTCCTTCTCAAAAAAAGAAAATAAATGAAAAGTTTATTATGAAAGGGATATAAATTCGATTTGGATTTAAAATGGAGATAATTTGAATTCACAGAATTTAGAAGAAAGAGCCTGAAAACGCGGAAGTGCGAAGGAAGCAGTTATATGGCGCTAACGTCTCATTCGGACATACGCACTTCGCGCTCTCATCTACGCATCACCCAAGTCGCAACTTTTCTTCTTTTCCCCACATTCCAATTCCAATTCTCCCTTTCCATCTCCGACTGGATTTTGCTCTGTTATTACTTTGTCCCGTACATATGTGTCTTTGTTTTTGTGAATTTCTAAATTCATAACATTAATAATCATGGAGCAGAAGCACTTGTTCATGTCGGCATTGGGCGTTGGGGTCGGTGTGGGGCTGGGATTGGCGTCTGGGCAGGCCCTTAACAAATGGACGGGCGGTGGCGCCAACAGTTCTGCACCGGAAGGCTTTACGGCCGATCGAATCGAGCAGGAACTCCGGCGACTGATCATTGACGGCAAGGGCACAGATGTTTCATTTCAAAACTTCCCTTATTATATCAGGTAGTAACTAATTTTGTGTTCAGTATTTTGTCATAATAAGTGAGTAAGCTTTCACCAATTTCAATCGGCGCTAAAGTTGCTAGAAATCTTCTATTTTCCTTGCATTATCTTTATTAATTTCTTCAGTGATTTCTCGATTTCTGTTATGCTCATTTAGGGGTGGGCTTAATCATTTTGGTATGTTAGCATAGGAAATGTTGGATTTTATTCTGCCGAACCCTCATATGCAGTCATTGTGGAATTCCTTTTGACTTTATTTTCTTACAATTCTGAACTGTTTCTCCTTTTTACCCCCCTCCCCCACGTTTTGAATTATTGGGGAAAGTAATGGCGCTAGCAATAAATTTGCTGGTATAAGATGAACTAAAACAAAACATATCTTCAACTTTTCTAGTTATCTTAAAACTTTTCGGTTGGCAAATCACTCCCAAGTACTCCGTATATATATGTTTAATTAATCGGTAACCATTTATGGTTTGATAAAAAACCAAATATTTGGTAGTCTTTTGAGTTTAGTTGAGATAATTCTGTTGTTGTACTTAAAACTTAAAATTATAAATTTCCTATAATTGCTGCCTTCTCTGGGATATACTATTATTTCCAAAGAAATAGTTTCGAGTCGGCTTACAAATATTATTTCTGAAAACTTTTGGTTTCTTTCTCACTTGTTCTTTAATTTTGATGACTTTGACAGCGAACGGACACGAGTGTTATTGACAAGTGCAGCATATGTTCATCTAAACCACTTAGATATGTCTCGACATACTAGAAATCTCTCACCAGCGAGTAGGGCTATATTGCTGTCTGGGCCTGCTGGTATGTGCATGAAAACCTGTCAATTTCATTTTTCACGAGCAACTATTATTTTTCGTGTATGTCTCTTTCCCATTTACTGATCTTGATCGAATATGGCAGAACTTCACTTGCAATCACTTGCAAAGGCTGTTGCTCATCACTTCGAAGCAAAACTCTTACTTTTGGATATAACTAACTTTTCAGTAAAGGTGATGATTTAGGAAATGTAGTGTTATTTAAAAAATATATTCTGTTTATTGGTGAACTAATTTTTTTTATGGACTGATCATCTGTAGATGCAGAGCAAATATGGAAATGCCAAGAAACAGCCCGTAAGCACTATTTTACTTTAGGAAAATTTTATCATTAGTCTTTTTTTTAAGGAGCATGTATCTTCTTTTCAATTAGAGATGATGTCAACATAAGTATGCTTTATACTGGGAAAAATTATTTTATTGATATATTAACATGTTATTGCTTATTCTACCACATGTCCACATGCAAATGAGGCCCTTTTGTCTATTTGGAGTCGACCTAACCTTCATTTTCATTGTGTAGCCTTTAAAGAGGTCCATATCAGAGGTGACATTGGAGCACATGTCCAGTTTACTTGGGTCTCTCTCATCTCTACCTGCGCAAGAATATAATAAAGGTATATAAAGCCTTGTAACCTTATTCTTCTAAATACCTGTGTGAGATGTTGGCATGATTGATTTTTTAATTATCACCATCCAGGCAGATTGTCGAGGCGACCCAGTATTGATGCTAAATTAAGGTAATCCTTTGTTTCCATATTGATCCAAGGAAGTAATTGTGATTGATATCAATTCTGACTTTTCACCCGGACTTCATCGTAACAGTGAAGGTGTGAGCGTTCCTCTTAAGCATCGCAGAAATTCATCTATCTCATCGGATATGAGCAGTATCTCCTCACAGTCCTCTATTTCAAGTTCAGGTTTGCATGTCAAGGAACATTTAATAAAACGACTCTGCAGCATTAGTTGTGAAGCATACGTATGAAGTTCAGATGTTTTATAAACAGCATCAGAAATGTTTGTGTATATGTCATCTTCTTCACCTTAGGATTCAATATTTACTACTTCCTCGGTTTTTATGTATTTCTTAAGTGTTTCCATTATTGCACACATACCAAGATGTTTTAATTATTTCCATCATTTGCAATGGAGCCAAAGATTCATTATTTTTTGGCTTGAGATTATGATGGAATAAAGCAAAATGGCTCACTAAACTGTTTGCGCTTCTTTGTCATGAAGCAGCAGTCAGTCCATGCAATTTTGGACGGGATTTTTACTATGGGTCATCCGGAAACAGTCTCTCTGTGCTTTAGTATAGGGGTAAGACTGCGTACATCCGACCCCCCCTTACCCCACCGTAGGTGGGAGCCTTTGCGGCACTGGGGTAAATGAAAATGATGATGATGATGACCAAGATGTTTTAATTAAAATCAAGACAAAAGTAGCGAATATGACTATAAACCCCGATTAATGGTTTAATGAATTTGTATCATTTATGGATGGACAGGGGCAGTGGTGGGAAATGATCAAGTAATGGTTTCCTAGAATCCTAAAGAGACAGTTACTAGAAAACAAAAACAAACAATCGAAAGCCAAGATAAAAGAGAACGGAGACCATACTCAATTAAAACTATTTTAATGTTTCACTGTTTCTGTTCTTACTTGTTATTCTGATTTATGGTTTTTGTGCTACATTATTAACATTACTTCATGTTTCTCTGGATCTGGCAAAGGGGATTTACTGAGCTTACATCAGTATTGTAAACATTTGTCGAGTTTTAGAGTTGCATATCCAGATTCATTACTGTGGCTGTACTAATTTTTATGCATCATATGCAGCAGCAGCATCTTTATCATTAGATTCATTCCATTTCCATTATTCCATATTAATTATTCTTATAAATAAAGAGGGGGGTAAAAGACATCAGATTGCTTATAATATTTTCATTTAGTTGAACAATTGTGCATATCAGATTATTGAAACACTTTCTTGTTATCTCGTTGTATAACTAGCTCCTCCCAAACGCGTAAGCAGTTGGTCTTTTGACGAAAAAACTTTCTTGAAGTCACTTTACAAGGTAATGGAAAACTTTGATTTTTTTTGACAGAATATTAATCCTGTTTTTGTTACATGCATTTATAATGATTGGCTCATTGATATTTGACAAAGAAATTGTTGACTGCAGGTTTTGATGTCTGTTTCTGAAACTAACTGCATCATCCTCTACATGAGGGATGTAGATAGACACCTTCAGTCTCCCCGAGTTTTCAACCTTTTTCACAGAATGATAAAGAAATTATCAGGATCAGTGTTGGTTCTTGGATCACGGGTAATAGAACATTTTGATGAGAGTGGAGAAATTGATGAGAGATTCAGCGTGTTATTCCCCTACAACATTGAGATTAGGCCACCTGAAGATGAGACTCATCTTATAAGCTGGAAAGCCCAATTGGAAAAGGATATGAAGACGATCCAGTTTCTGGATAATCGAAATCACATTGCTGAGGTGCTTGCGGCAAACGACCTTGAATGTGAGGATTTAGGGTCAATCTGTCAAGCAGATACAATGGTTTTGAGTAACTACATTGAGGAAATAGTAGTGTCTGCAATATCATTCCATTTGATGAATAACAGAGATCCAGAATATAGAAATTCAAAGCTCATTATCTCGTCCAAAAGGTATAGATTTTAATATTTCTATTATTGTAGCATTATACATTCCTCACCCCCCCCCCCCCCAAGTACATTTTTGTTCCTGTGTATTTATTCCATGTCTGCTATGGGAAGTTTGTCCCATGCATTAAGTGTCTTCCAGGAGGGAAAAAGTGGTGGCCGAGACACCCTCAAGCTGGAAACAAATTGTGAATCTTCCAAGGTCTTTTTCTTAATATCAATCTTGGCATTCCCATTTAAAATTTTGAGTGAGACTTTTTCTGTTGAACCTTTCTGAAAAATGTTTGTATCTAATAGGTCACTGGCGGAGGAGACAGTGTTGAGCCAAAGCCTGAAGCAAAGTCTGATAACCCTGTATCCGAGAGTAAAAGTGGGACTGAAAAACCAGTTACACTGATGAAAAAGGAGGGTGAACACACAGCAGCACAAAAGGCACCAGTAAGTACAGATCCTTAGTCATTTAGCGCCTGTTTGGTCGGAGTTATTTGGCCTAAATGTTTGAATCTTCTTAATTTTCTAATATAAAATACATTTGGTTAAACCAGTGTAAGCCAATTAAGAATTTCAAAGGCTACTTATTCTCCTAATACGCAGAATAAGCCGATGAATGTCACTAAATGTAACCAAACTAGCACCGGCCAATGTTTGTTGATTTTTTTTGTAGTTTACTGAAAACAGGCTGTTAATTTTTCCATTGGCCGTTAACATGTCTGACTACAGGAAGTTCCTCCAGACAATGAGTTTGAGAAACGCATAAGACCAGAAGTCATCCCTGCACATGAGATTGGAGTGACATTTGAAGATGTTGGCTCCCTTGATGAGATTAAGGAATCTCTTCAAGAGCTGGTCATGCTTCCGCTTCGAAGACCTGACCTCTTTAATGGTGGTCTTCTTAAGCCTTGCAGAGGCATATTGCTCTTTGGTCCTCCTGGTACCGGGAAAACTATGATGGCTAAGGCAATTGCAAATGAAGCCGGAGCAAGCTTCATAAATGTCTCGATGTCAACAATTACTTCTAAATGGTTTGGTGAAGATGAAAAGAATGTTAGAGCGTTATTCACACTTGCTGCTAAGGTGTCTCCTACTATCATTTTTGTGGATGAAGTTGATAGCATGCTTGGGCAACGAACAAGGGCTGGAGAACACGAAGCCATGCGGAAAATCAAGAACGAATTCATGACACATTGGGATGGATTGTTGACAAAATCTGGTGAGCGAATTCTGGTTCTAGCAGCAACCAATAGGCCGTTTGACCTAGATGAAGCAATTATTAGGCGCTTTGAGCGCAGGTATATTCACATTGCCTCATTTCCTTAAAATGAGATCATTGTGTTTTTTCTTAGGAAAAAATAATGAGAGCTCATCTTCTAAGTGCAAGTCTGTCCGGAATTGTTGAATTTCCTAAATTTGGTGAAATTATGGGTGCTATTTTTGCTGAGTTGTCTACAAATGTATTCAAAATTTGTAAATATTTCATTTAAGTCATTTTAGGGTAAAAAATTGCAACTGAACTTTTTAGTGATCCGCTTGACCAACATAATTATTTAAGTCAGTGTTTGGTACTGAAACTGTTGGGTGATTTAACCTTTTTTGGTCTTGAATGGTGCTGTGATGATACTCTATTTGAATATGAGAACATAACCTTTATTTTTTATTATGAGCAGAATTATGGTAGGGTTGCCTTCAGCGGAGAGCAGAGAAAAGATCTTGAGAACTCTTCTAGCGAAGGAAAATGTAGAAAACCTTGATTTCATGGAGCTTGCTGCTATGACTGATGGATATAGTGGAAGTGATCTTAAGGTTTGTTCTTAATTGGCAAAATAGTGAAATTGGCAGATAATCTATTTATCTGTAACAACTAATAGTCTTGGCCATTGAAAACAGAACTTGTGTACCACAGCAGCTTATCGTCCTGTGAGAGAGCTAATACAACAGGAGATTCAGAAGAACATGGTAGATTACTTTCCTAACATTACTCGGTCAAAACTCATGGACAAAAGTGTATTTGTCATTACTTCTATGTCGATTTCTATATCATTATTTGCTCCGATTTCATATGTCGATTCATGTTAACCCACTGCAATTTCTTTTGGGACTAAGACTTGCATGTTGTTGTATCAGTCATTATTTCTATCTGCATTCTTCTGCTCTTTTGTTGTCAACACTTTCATTTCATAAACTATTCTGTTCATAGGAAAAGAGGCGCAAAGGTGAAGAAGTGCAGAGCTCAGAAGCTGCTGCTTCAGATAACAAAGATCCCACAGCTGAGAGAGTTATCACTCTGAGACCTCTAAACATGGAAGATATGAAGCAAGCAAAGAATCAGGTAACATAATACTACACATTTCCTTTTCTGTTCTCTCAAAAAGAACACAGACGAGCTGGTTATGAACATATTGGGAGTGTTTCTCTTTCGCTTCAGGTTGCGGCTAGTTTTGCTGCTGAAGGATCCATAATGGGTGAACTTCAGCAATGGAATGACTTATATGGCGAAGGTGGCTCCCGAAAGAAGCAGCAACTGTCCTACTTCCTTTAGGTTGCCAGTCAGATACATGCATCCCTAGTTGGGAGGACAATCTATCTGTAATTATATACGTAGTATAATACTCCGTAGAACTTATCCAGCCCCTAGATTATAGTTTTATTCATGTCTTTTGTATGATATATAAACATATCCAAATGCTTGACTCTTAAAATCTGGGAGTAACTTGGATGAATTTGCACTGCTGTAGCCTGTAGGTACCCTGTCACCCTGGGAAATAGCTTATAAATATTAATCTGTGGTAGTAAATTAGTAATGTATAATCTGGTGTTCTCTGTTGAGAGTTGAATATTGTAATTATTATTTTATTTATTGTGCATATCTCTTTATCAACACTCCGTACTAATTTGTTATCATGGTACTTGGTAGTCTCTTACCCTGTTTACAGTATTTCTTGATCCGGTTTTGATTAATCCTGATTCGTTTAACGGGACCAGCAGAATTGGTCCTGAATCGGAATGAGTACCGATTATTTTTAGAGTTCCTGGATTAATCCTAAGGGGCTGTTTACTTTTTTTTTTCATTAAGTCCTGAATGGATTAAGATGTCTGTCTGAATTAAGACATCTGTCTGGATAACAAGCTGTTTACTATGTGTGCTGAATGAGAAGTCTGAATTATGTTAAATGACCAAATAACCCTTCTGTCCAAAACAAGTGTTGAATGTATATTATCTGTTTATATTGCTTGTTCTGAAATATAATTTCATATGCCTAATCAAAGGATTCTGCAACAACATTTTAAAATAAATAGTATATCAATTTTGGAAATGATAAGTGCTTATTTACTTAAAAATGAAGAGTTTTGGTTTACCAATCAAGAAATTACCAAAAAATGAAGAAAAATCTGCACCAGAAATGCAAAAAAAACTATTAATTTGCCAAAGAAATGAAGAATGAGATAGACACCCAAAAAATACATTTGACGAAGCAACAAAATGAGATACTCGTATAGCAATTGCTCCTTTATCATTCAAGACAAGTTTAAGAAGCACCCAAAATTTCAATCAAGATTCAAAAATTGATATTGCAAGGAAATGATTCAAATGAATGGACCAAAAAGTTTATATGCGCCATATGAGAAAAAACAGTGGCCGTCACCACACCAGAGAAGCTTTGGGTTCCGATGGCAGCTTGAACGATGCAACTATAGAAGAAACTCGGTCAGGGGTAAGATATACTATTTGCTTCTGCTTTCATAAAAATTTGGGTTCACAGCAACAAAAATCAGAATTTTCTATTCTAACAAACAATTTCGAACAAACAACCAAAACTTGATAATCCAACAAAATATCTGAGAATGAAGATGGGTGGCCATGGAAGCTTTCTTCGCTGGTGTTTTCGCTGATTTGTTGACAGGAGAAGAAGAATAGGATGTAACTGGCACAAGAGGGCACAATAGGTTGAGATTCTGCCCTCAACCTCGTTCTACATTGCGTTAGGACATTGATAGTAACTAAATTCTTGTTCGACGTCAACTATTGAAACCGGCATCGATAACACTTGCTTAGCCATCTTTGCTAAAACCGGGAACATTCTTTCTTATCCCTTCCACCAGTTTAGAACGTCAAAGTCATCATATTCTTCAAAATCAACATCATATGTTAAATACAAAGAAATCTCATTAATTGTACTTTGTTGAGTAGCGGGTGTTGTTTTAGTTTTTTTTAATAAGTTTGGCAAATGTAATTTTTTTACTCCACCCCCACCCCCACCCCCAAACCGCCCGGACCCCCCTTCCAGCCCACCCAATGGCTATATAGCCATTTGGGTAGTCCCCAACCCACCCCCAACGGCTAGTTGTGGCCCAAACAATTTTTTTTTGACCGTTGGACCCGACCCGGCCGGGCCGGGTCACCTTTTGCCTGAACCGAGCCCGCCCCGCCCTTCCCCCCCGATTCGGGTCTACACCCGGTCCCGGACCGCCAGACTGGGCCGGTCCCAGGCCCGCACAGTAGCGGGCCAGGCCGGGTCACGGCCCGGGTGGCCCGAACCGAATCCAAGCCTAGTTTTAATGCACCAAACTCCATACTCCCTCCGTATCACCTTATATGTCTCATTTTGTTTTCACGTAGTTTAAAATAATTACTGTAGACTATAAAAAGTACGAGGTTTTTGATATTGTAGCGGTACTATAACGATACTGCAGTGGTACTGTAGCTATTTTTTGAATCAGTTTCTTTCCAGAATGACAAATGAGACAATTAATTTGATATGTCCCGAAAAGAAATGTGAGACAGATTTAGTGATACAACAGGAGTATAGATTAAGTGTATTAGCCCCTTGTAATTAAAAAAATGTCTCAAACTCCCCTATATTATATATATATATATATATATATATATATATATATATATATTGATGCGTAAAATTAGAACAAATTTAACACTTTGAAAATCACTTATCTTAATAATATGATTGAAAATGCAAGTAACTTTGTCAAGATTTATAAATTTGGTCATAAAGGAGGGTTTTCCCATGAATACATTTGATACAGAGGAGTTTGAAACATTTTTTAAATCGCATTCGCTAATGCATTGGATTTATATTTCACAAGAGGGTGTGATGCATTAAACTTTTTTTAATTGATCAAATATGAAACTTGACTCAAAACTGGAACCAAGCTTGAGCAAAGCTGAAACCGGTTCTCCCGTTTAGGTTCTGAATACCCTATTACCCTTCCATGGAATCAAGTTAGAACCGGTTCATCTAACTTCCAGTCCACCAGAACAGGTCTTCTGGTTTGGAGCAGTTCTGTTCGAGAATAGATCTTCTGGTTTGGAGCAGTTCTGTCCGAGCAATTCTGGTTCTGAGAAAAATAAAACGTTATGGGAAGAAACAAAAATTAAATCGTTTCTTTGAATGATGGGTAATATTCCAATTCCGATGTGAGAATGACCGCAACAAAATCATGGCCGAAGGGCCATATGCACTTTTTGGAAAGACTTTATTCTTGAGGATCTTATCGGAGGACTTCGATTTTGATGGGGAGGAATTTTTAAAGGTCCCAATTTGGGTTAAATTTCTCGGGCTCTCAGTCATACTTTGGAACAAGCCGGAGATGAGTGAACTTGCTTCTAGAGTTGGGGTCCCTATTGTGGCGGACAAAGTGACCCAAGAGAAATCAAGGTCTCAATTCGCTAGGGTGTTGGTGGAAGTGGATATCTCTAAACCTCCAACGTTGTTTATTCCCATTATCCAACCCTCCGGTAAGGAAAGGATACAATATGTTATTTATGAAACATTTCCTTACTTTTGTTTCGAATGCAAGGCTTTTGGGCATCACCCGTTTACTTGCAAGGTGTTGAACAAGGAACTTGATGTCAAGGAAACCATACCCGAGGGCACAACTACTCCAAAAGCTACTGCCGGGGCTCCTAATACTGCTAGGGGGGTCTAAGGCCGAGACTACAACAGCGGAAGAAGAAAGAGAACGAAAATTATCTTTGATGAGCTTGGAGGGCAGGTGATACACAACGTGTATGAGCTTAAAAAAAGATATGTGGTCAGTCTGGTCACACGTATTGTTTACGATGAAAACAAAAGCAAGACGGTCTATGCGATGAAACAAAGTGAAATCCCGACACATCTAGAAATCCGGAGGCTTGGGGTGAACTTGGAGCGAGTACGAGATGATGAGCATGGAATCTCCTTCACGCATGAGTGCCTTAGTAAATTGCCGGGGGTCACGCCGCATTATCAATGGTATCAATTTAAACCGAATATTTTTTATACTTATGTAACGTCTTTCTTTGATGTGTCAACTAGGGACAACAAGAAATATGCTAAGGAAAAAATAAGAAGAATTGAGGCCAAGGAGGCAAAAGAAAAGGAGAAGCAAGTGGCGAAAGAGGGGGGTGGCCACTCTTCCACTGATTCCGAGTCTTATGAATTTTAAAGCTATAGTATGGAACGTGAGAGGTTTGAATAAACCCTCCAAACACTCTACTATTTCTAGCTTTGTTAAATTTAATCATGCGAGTTTATGTTGTTTTTTGGAAACAAAAATGGCAAAAAATAATATTTTTAATTACGTTTCTAGTAAATGGCCGGGTTGGTCTTTTGAAACTAATTTTGATTTTATTGATGGGGGCGTATGTTGGTTTTTTGGAATCCGAATTTATTAACGTGTACTATGATTGAGATGGGAGCCCAACATATGCATTTTAAATGTATTTTTCGCACTACACAAACCGTTTTATACGCCACATTTGTCTATTCACTTTACACCGTGTTGGAGCGAAAGGCTTTGTGGGAACACCTTGCCTTACTTGGGGACCAAATTAGGGACCCTTGGCTCATTGCGGGTGATTTTAATTGTGTGTGCTCCCCGAACGAGAGGGTTGGTTCTTCCACACCCTCGGCCTATCTTATGAAGGATCTAACTGATTTTAAAATCCGTGCTAGCCTAGAAGATGCCCCCCCCTCCACCGGAGAATTCTATACATGGAATAAGGGCTCTCTTTGGGCTAAGCTTGACCGAGTTTTATTAAATGAAACTTGAGATCATTTGGGGATTAATTGTAAGACCCATTTCGATGAAATGGAGGTTGAGTTTGACCACACGGCCACTGTTGTATCTATACTCAATAATTCCTCTTTAAGGCCGAAATCCTTCAAATTTTAATTTTTAACATGTGGATTCAACATTCTGCATTCACTAACCTAGTTTTGCAGCACTCGAATGTTTATATTGACGGCACGGCTCAATATCAAATTGTTAGGAAACTTAAGTTGCTAAAACAACCCCTTAAGAATCTTAACAAATTGGAGTTCGGCCATATTTCTACTAAAGCAAAGAGCTAAAGATGAGTTCAAAAGGCTGAATAAATGTTGCTTACTTCACCACATGATGCCGAGCTTAAAGATCAAGTCAAGGACGCTAGGAAAAGGGCTACATTCTTTGGTGAGGCCGAATGTAGTTTTTTCCAACAAAGGGCAAAAGCTATGCACATACTCGAAGCTGACAAAGGAACGAGATATTTCCATGCGATTGTCAAGCGTAATATGTCCCGGAATGCCATAACCTCCATAACCTTGGATGATGGCAGCCTCACTAATTCCGTTGATCATGTTGGAAATGAATTTGTAAAGTATTTTGTGAATTTATTTGGCACCGAGATGGGTAACCTTTCCATTGATCAATCGGTACTAGGAACCGGCCCTTTGATTCAACCAAGGGTTCATGATAGCCTTTTTTTCTCCGATATCTAACAAATAAATTAAAGATGCTTTGTTGGATATTGGGGATGATAAGGCACCAGAGTCGGATGGTTATTCATCGACTTTTTTTAAGAACAATTGGAATCTGGTTGGGGAGGACGTGATTCGTACGACTAAGGAGTTCTTTAACTCGGGAAGGTTGCTTAAACAGATAAATCATACTGTGATAGCACTCTTTCCTGAAACTAGTCACTCCCCTAAGGTCTCTGATTTTAGACCTATTTCCTGTACTAATGTGCTTTATAAGATTATTACGAAGATTATTGTGGAAAGAATGATCCCTACCCTCTGGGGTCTGATCAATAAAGCACAAGGTGCGTTTGTGGATGGCCGCCTAATGTTTGATAACATTTTCCTAGCCCAGAAACTTGTTAGAGGATACAATAGGAAGCGAATCTCACGTCGTTGTATGATAATGGTGGATTTGCGCAAGGCCTATGATACCATTTCTTGGGACTTTCTTGCCAATGTTTTAAGGGGATTGGACTACCCCGAGAGATTTGTTGGGTGGATCATGGAATGTGTCTCCACCAAATCTTTTTCTATTTCTTTAAATGGTACCTTGTATGGCTTTTTAAAGGGGAAAAGAGGCATTAGGAAAGGGGATCCAATGTCCCCGTTGCTCTTCGTTGTTTTCCTTGAATATTTCTCGCGACTTTTAACCATGAAAACAAAAGTTTCTAACTTTAATTTTCATCCTCTTTGTGGTTCCTTGGGCATTACCCACCTGGCCTATGCGGATGATCTTATGCTCTTTTCAAGAGGGGACGAACATTCCATTGGAATTTTGGTCAATACTATCAAAGAGTTTGGGGACGATTCGGGCCTTAGGGTAAATCATAATAAATCCAATATTTTCGTTGGTGGGGTTAACGGTTTTGAGTTGCAGAATATCTTGGACCTCGTTGACTATGGTCGTGGAGTATTCCCGGTGAGATATCTTGGAGTCCCGCTTGCACCGCTTAAAGTCTTTGTGGCTCAATATGCTCCCCTTTTGGAGACGGTAAATGACTTTTTAAGAACTTGGAATACTAAGACTATTTCCTATGCTGGCAAGCTTGAGCTAATTCGGTCTGTGATCCAAGGGGTCCAGTCGTTTTGGCTCCAAGTCTTCCCGGTCCCCCAAACTATTTTGGATAGGATTGTGTCGATTTGTCGCATTTTTCTGTGGGGTGGTAAGTTTGCCAAGGTGGCATGGGATGACATTTGTCTCCCTAAAGAGGAAGGGGTCTTGGCATTCATTATGCTAAGGTGTGGAATCACGCCCTCCTTGCTCGAACCCTTTGGGACGTTCACATGAAAAAAGACACCCTTTGGGTGAAATGGGTGAACGGTGTTTACCTTAAAGGTAGGACCGTGTGGGACTTCGTCCCACACACTCGGGACTCACAGCTCATGAAGTGTTTGAGTCTCACTCGGGATAAGATTCAGAGTTGTTTTAATAATTTGAATGATACTATTATGAGCCTCAAATCTCGTACCACTAATGGAAAATTAGCCTCCGCTAAGATCTATGAACTGTTAAGAGTCAAGGGTGAAGTCTGGACTCCTATGAGTTTCATATGGAAATCCTACATCCCCAAAAACTCTCTTTTAATGTGTGGTTGGTCTGAGAAACCGGATTCCGACCTAGGATATTCTCGGTTATCTCCACATTGTGAATAGATGTGGCTTATGCAAGGGTGGTTTGGAGACAATACCACACCTGTTTTTCCTTTGCCCCTTTACTTGTATGGTGTGGCAGCAGATAAGGAACTGGATGGGCCTTGGGCATGAGATGACAACGCTGATAAGTGCTATTAAATGGATTATGAAGACACACAAAGGATCAAAGATGAAGGCAAAAGCTGCTCGCATTGCTTTATGTGCGACTGTTTATTATATTTCGCATGCAAGGAATGAAAACCGGTTTGATGATGGAAAGAAGATAGAAGAGGAGATCATAGCCAAGATCAAACATGTGGTCTACAAGATATTATTTAGTATCTACCCGCATGAGTTGATCATCTTTTGAAGTGGACATAATGAACCTTTTTTGGAACCACGACATATATTAGATTAGTGAATTGAGTGCGTGCACCTTGCAGCACCTCTGATGTTTTTTATTTTTGGGCTGCGGTTATTTACCGCATTAGCTTGACTAAGAATTTGACTTGATTGAAAAGCTTTTCCCAACCCTCTCCTATGTAACAGGAGGGGGTGGGTGGGTGGGGGGCTTTAAATTTTGTAACTTTTGTAAATTTTGCTTGGTTGATATATATATTTATGGTTCATCCAAAAAAAAGTTAGAACCGGTTCAGGTCTACCTTTCTAGGCATATGTCCTTTCTCAAAACACATCTAAAGTATTACTCGAGTAACTAGTGTAACACCCGAGTCATGCCCCGGTAGTTTTAATTTGATATGATGGGACAGGTGACAAATACTGATAAACATTGTCAACTATTAATAGAATATGATCAAAATTTTGGCTATAATCGATTTCTTTTACTCCCTCCTTCATTTTATATTTAGCCAAACACTATTTCTAAGTCAATTGTGTTAAATTTTGATTGATTATATATGTACACGGTAATAATGATAATACGAAAATGATACGAAAATATTCTTTGTTAAAAATACTACCATAAAAGTATACAACATCCACAACAACATCCAAGCCTTAGTCCCAAAAGATATTGGGGTCGGCTAACATGAATCGATACATGATATCACAACCAAAAGGAAAAGAAGGAATAAAGATAAAAAGATAAGCTATTATGAAAAGATAATATAAAAAAGATGAATATATATAGAAATGATAAAATAAAAAGGCTGCAAATAATGCATATATATATAAGGATAAAAAAAACTAGGAAAAAAAAAGATGAGGGAAAAAGATTATCAAGATCACTCCACTACCATAAAAGTATAAATTTATTAATTTTCACATAAATATATTAGTTAAAATAATGGATCAAAATTTATCATCTTTGACTGGAAATGTCAAAGATGACTGAATAAAGAGGGGTGGAGGTAGTATGAACTACCACTACCATGGAAGATGGGTGGGGAATCACCATCTTTTGGAGTATGATTATTTGATTATATTGTGATTTATGTGCTTAGTGTTGTCATAGTTATTAATTATTTATATGACTAATTCTACAATAAGGATGATAATAAGAAGTGTTGAATTGGAATCGGGAATATGTGGAGTTTACAATTTTACATTATGTTGGATATTCATGTGTATTATAAGTTTTGTACGATTAGAGTCCCATTCACGTGAACTAAAGTTCCATTATTTACAAATGTGCAGTAGGCCTTTATCCGTGCGCACCAGAGGGTCAGCATTATTTCAGGTTCTGAAAACCCCCTTTTGGCCGCTCTGATTATAATCTAGTACTATCTCGTGGTATGAATTTTTCTGATATGATCGAATCTTTCTGATCTGATTGAGTTTTTCAAATTTTGATCTAATTTAAATCATTCCGGACTAATCTAAATATTTATTATGTGATTGAGTGTTTATTAGTATATTATAAAGTCATTATTATCATCAAATAAGCCCTCGAACTTTCATAAAAAGTGCAAATAAGCCCTTTTTCAAGAGGCTTTGTCCGGCTATCGCCATTTGGGGCGGTTTCCGGTGGAATTTTTTGATAATTTTTTTTGAACATTTTCTTCATTAAGTCTAGTTTACTAATACCAAATTTCAGCTAAAAATTCAACCGGGAATGCAGTCAAATGACTTTTTGAAGATAACTGAGCAGTTAGACAGCGCAGTATATTTTAGAAAATCATTTGACTGCCTTCTTGATTGCATTTTTATCTGAAATTTGGTATGGAGAAACTAGACTTAATGAAGAAGATGCTGAAAATTTTCATCAAAAAATTCCACCAGAAACCGCTCCAAATGGCGACAGCTGGACAAAGCCTCCTGAAAAAGGACTTATTTGCATTTTTTAGGAAAGTTCGAGAGCTTATTTGATAGTTCTCCCATCATTTTATTATCGTTATAGTTATCCTTATTTTTATAATTATGATTATCATCATAATAAGTGTTATCAATACCATTATAATATGCAGTTTTACTATTATAAATAAATTATACTCCTCTGTCCCGAAATGGTTGATCAAATTTCCTTTTTTGGATGTCCCAAAAAGATTTGTCATTTCCATTTAAAGTAAGGAATATGTGGCTAAAATTAATTGTCTCTTCTCTGCACAAATTTCAACCACACAGTTTTTACTTTATTAATCCACGTGAAGGTCAACTTTGGCCAACCTTTTTGGGACGGAGGGAGTAGATACCAACAACCTACACTTTTATAATACGTAGTAATAGTCACTTACAAATACTGATAAGAATAAATGTATATAAATAATACTATAGTCAAATAATAATATTATCATTGATAATAACCATAGTAATAATATATGATGTTTTATGAATATTAATAACATACAAATAATGACTATAATAATAAAAATATTCATAATTAATTTCAATGGAAGCAACGTACAATAATAACCTACAAAAATAGTAGATTAGATCGGAATCATCATAATTGTAAAAGTAATAAGTTGTCTTAACTTTTCTGATTTGATCTAAGTGTTTCTGGTTTGATCTGAATTTTTCTTATTTAGTTTG